CACGTACAAAAGCCTCTCCAAGAACGACCCATTCCAAAATCAGAACGGCCCGTTCTGGGGTTTTCAGAACGACCCGTTTCAAGGTGGAACGACCCGTTCTGAGTCAATACTTCGTTCTTTTAAATCACATCCAGAACGGCCCGTTCCCAAAGTCGAACGGCCCGTTCTGGGTTGAAATTTTACTCATGAATGCTTGAGTTGGAACGGCCCATTCCCAAACTGGAACGGTCCGTTCCGGGGCTATGGAATCCAGAATTAGTAGTTAATAAATAAATAAATAATATATATATATCAAATTAAAATAAAATATCAATACAATTTAAAACATAATTTTCTTCAAATAATAATTATAACAAAATATCATAATTAATAATATTATACAAAATAATTTTCATAAATGATTATTAATAAAAACCTTTAAAAAATCAATCAAGCACATTTAATTAATCAAAATAATTATAAGAAAATAATCTTCATAAATATAAAAATAAATAATAATTATTCGTAGTATTAGTAGAAAAATTCGGGGTGTTACACAACGGTTGGATTGTTGAATGAAAATCTAGAGTGGGAGAAAAATGTCTTGCAATAACAATTATGTTTTCAAGCTTTTCATCTTCTTATTTTTCATTTGTAAGCATTTGTGTTTGGTTTGCTTTGACTATTGTAAACAATGTTTGATGCTTTCTTTAGAGACTCTCTTGGACTCTTTGTTGATCATAGTAGAGTTTTTATTTAGTCTGGACAACTTGTGATCTTTACCCTTACATTGAGGAGTTTTCCATGTTAAAAAATGTTTGAATTTCTTGTACATTTGGTTATCTATTTTTGCTATATTTTGTTGATATTCCTTGTTGATTTTTACAAGTAGGAAGATTTAATTTCTATTGCGTTATAATTCTTTTATTAAATTGTTGTTATTGTATTGGGTTTTCCTCATTAATGTATTCTATAAAGATTTGAGAATTATTTTGGAAAGGTATGAAACTATACAACCTAATTATTTATTATTTTTTATATATTTTCTTTTATGTTAACTAAAATTAATAACAAAATTCACATTTAGTTTCCTTCCATAAATTGTAGAGAAGCTCACGTTCCTAAAATATAATAACTGTTTGGTCTCCCTGTTAACAAAAATTTATGATTATGAAGCAATATAAGTATAAATAAATTTTTTATTTTCTTTGATCTTTTTCTTACGATTAAAATTATGTAGAGTAATATTTCTAATATATTTTAAGCATTATAATTGTAAAAAAAAAATTAATTTATTAATTTTAGAATCACTCTAATGATCGAAGAGGAAAAAAAATTACCATAATTAGAAGTATAAACAGCTGAATTCGATTGTTATTGAAACCACATTCGTAACTTTTTCTATCTATACTGATATATAAAAGGGATACACTTTTTGGTAACCACCTTGGTCTCCACTTTTTTGGACCATTATACTCTTTTATTTTAAAAAATTAGAAAAAATATTCTTAATCAAATTTAAAATCTTGAAACTAATAAATTTATACTAATATATAAAAGGATTACACTTTCAATAATTATTTTTAATTTTTATTTTTATATAAACCATTTTATCTTTTATTTATTTTTTAATAATTACTTTTTATGAATAATTTCTCATTTTTATTTATTTATTTATTTTTTCAATAGGCACGAAGTGCCTTTTTCTTGCTAGTCTTTATAAAAACAATTAAAAAAAATCAAGGGTTGCACGGCTAATATTTTCCTTAATTTTTTATTATTATTTATCACATGATAGTTATTTTTAATAAATAAATAACATGCATAAGCGTAGGTAAATATTAATTTTTTTTCTTGACACCACTAAATATTAATTAATTATCAAAAACTATCGACATGGATTTTAAGCGTAGCTCCTTAATAACGTTATTTGCACGGAAAATAGAAAAGGAAAAAAAAAAAAAAAAAAAAAAGAAAAGCAAAGAGAGTAAGAGTGAAGCCACCCCCAGCCCCAGCCCGACATGTTCTGAAGTCTTCTCTGCTTGTATGCAACGGCCACAGCACTGCGCGTGAAACCGATTGTTGCAGGCTCAAGATCCGGGTCGACCCGTCGCAGATCCGATCCAAGCAAACATGAATATTTTCAGGTTAGCTGCGGACATGACCCATTTGGCCAGCGTCCTCGTCCTCCTCCTCAAGATCCACACCATCAAGTCCTGCGCCGGTTCGTTCCTTTTCTCTCTCTTTTCCTTTCCCATCCCAACGCCTCCTCGATTTCCCATATCATGCTTATTGCTCAATGTTCCCTCTTCTTCTTGTGTCGATTTTGGTTGAACGGAAATGCTCCGAAACCCCGTTGTTTGGGCAAGGAGTGTGGATTTGAGATGATATTTCTAATCCTTTTCAATGACTAGGATTGCGACATTGTGTGTGTGTGAAATTGTTTGGTACTTGCCCTTTTGGTTGTAATGTTGGATATGGATAGTATGCGCTGAGTTTTAGGTTCAAGCTATGATGTCATTGTTATAAAATCAAAAAAGGAGGTTTTTGTTTGTGACCTTAGAGTTGTCACTTTATTGTATGGAGGCTTTGGCTTGTCTTCCACAATGTGGGGAACCAAGGTTCGAATCTCTGTTGAGAGATGTGTTCACGTTTAGTGTCTGATGATTTCTCGAATAGAATTGTCTTCAAATGAAGGTGCCTAAGGGGACCCGAAAAATAATATGGGGATTTGGGCGTTGCTTTCAAAGTCCATTGTTAGGATTTTGGTGTCGGAAGCAGCATTTCTTGTTGATACAATAGGCTTCGATTTACTGGTTCCATGCCTGTTAGATTTTTTTTTTTTTTGGTGTTTTTTATGATTGGAGGAGCCTGTAGTGCCCCTTTTTTATTCTTTATTTATTTTTTTATTTTTTTATCTGGATGATATCTTTCCATTCAATGTGAAGAACTATTATACATGTTCTATTATGAGTGAGGAATCATCTTGGATCTTGACCCCTTTATGTGAAACTAAGGTTGGGAATTAGTGGTAATGATGCTTGTTGCCTTCTTCTAAAATAGATACAATACAACCTATCATTTCTGAATTTTGAGGAAAGAAGTTTGTTTTATGTCTAAACAAATGTCACTTATCAACAGACAGCGATGTGAACCAGTTCGTTAATCTCAAAGTAGGATTCTAAAAGTTTGAGTATCTTTCGGAAATAGGACTTTTTATATATAGTCAGACTAACCTTTTGCTTTGTCAATTACGCCTTGAGAAAGAAATGGCAAGTTTCAGAGTTCTATATTGGTAAAGTTTGTGAAATGAGACCAGTATATAGGTAATAATTATATGTATGTAGTTATAGTCATACACAAATAAAGGGAACTGTAAGAGTTATGCAAGTGATGCAGGATAAAGGTGGTCAAGCATAACTATGTGTTTGGCTGCTGCTTAAGTTATTGTAATTGAGTATTTCTCTTGCTACTGTGACTCAAGTACTGTCTGTGTTTCTGCTGTGCTAATGAACAATTAATAGGCTAAACCGAAGTCTGACATGTAATTATAAAATACAAATTTTGTGCTGCATCAATATGCATGTGTTTTTCCCTCCTATGTTTGTGTCTTTCTACATAAGGGAAGAACAAAGCTATTTTATCCTATGAAGGAAAAGGCAGTAAAGTAAGCAAGACTTATTCATTAAAGCAGTATACACCCACGTAGCTGTGATTTTTCATTTTTCATATTTTGGCCATTGATTGACTGTGGCTTAGTTTTTAAAATACATTTCATATATCTTTTGGACCCTGACTTTGGTTGCATCTTATATTTTGTGTGCAGGTGTCTCATTGAAGACTCAAGAACTTTATGCAGTTGTTTTTGCTGCTCGCTATTTGGATATCTTTACTAATTATGTATCTCTCTATAATACCGTTATGAAGTTGATATTCTTGGGAAGCTCATTTTCTATTGTATGGTACATGAGGTACCACAAGGTTGTTCGTAGATCATACGACAAAGACCAAGATACCTTTCGGCATTACTTTCTTGTATTGCCCTGCTTACTATTGGCCCTATTAATCAATGAGAAATTCACATTTAAGGAGGTTAGTATGCATCAGCTGTTATTTGTGGTATATACTATAGTAACTGTTGTGTAAACATTTACATGTCCTTCTGACTGTTTTTAAAAGTTGATTGTGTAACTTTCACTTACTTTCTGAAAATACTTATGCATGGAATAGGTGATGTGGACATTTTCCCTGTATTTGGAAGCTGTTGCTATACTTCCTCAACTAGTACTTTTACAGAGAACTAGAAATATTGACAATTTGACTGGACAATATGTCTTTCTTCTTGGGTAAGATATTGTTCTTTATCTGATTCTAAAAATTATTATATATTTCCATGATTCCTGTGGTTCATGTTATTGCATTTGTGTTGGAAACGGAATTAGCAGCTGTTATGTTCTAAGGTTATTTCACTTTATGATGAATGACCAAAATACTAGAATTTATTATCTTTGTTGATATCTATTCCTGCATGGTATGAGCTTAGTAGTGGTTTTGTTACGAACCAAGAATTAGGAATGTGAAATAAAAGACAAATATTATTGAATTAGATGCAAAGAACAAGGAATACGGGAGAAATCTCTTCTCCTAGGGTTTTCCCATCACAAAGTGCTAAAGCTCAATTTACAAAAATGATACTCGATAGATGATCCCCTTCCCCCTAGCATCCTCTTATTTATTTAACCCCGTAACTAACTAATCGGGATCCTAATTGTCTAACTCACCCTCCCTTTGCCATAGTCCTAATAATAACACCCCTCCTAAACAACAAACCTTGTCCTCAAGGTTCGAATTTAATAACTAGAATAGAAACAAATGAAAATGTATTTTGCATAGTAGTCAATAGCGGTTGTCGCGGCTGCAATCGCGGCGCGTCGGAGCGGAGCGGCTTCGTGCCGCTTCAAAAAGTTTGTTGCGGAGCGCTTTGAAGGAGCGGAGCGGCCGCGAAAGCGGCAGAGCGTGGCGCGGTTGGGCGACGAATCTTCTCTTCTTTTTCCGGCGGATCTCCGCCGATCTATCTTCTTCTCCGACGAATCTCCGTCGATTTGTCTTCTCTGGCGGATCTCCGTTGATTCGTCTTCTCTGACAGGGGCTCTGTCTTCTCCGATGGTGGCTTTGTCTTCTTCAGCATCTACAGACTTGTCTTCTACTAAGAGGGAAGGGCTGAAGGCTGCGGCGACAGCTTGACTCTCAGGATTAGAAGGGTGGAAAAATAATTAGGGTTGGAAAAGTTGGGCTAAATGGGTAAAAAAATAATTAGGGTTGGAAAAGTTGGGCCAAATGGGCCAAGTTTTATTTTTTCTTCTGATTTGATTAAGGGCCTTTTACTTCACTATTTTTTTTTAGAAAGTAACTTCTCTTTATTATTAATTATTATTATAATTCAGATAATATTTTAAGTAATAAAATATTAAATATAAGACCTTAAATATTTTGTTTTCTTAATTCCTTTTTATTTAGTTTAACTATTATAAATTTTTATTATTAAAAATATTTAATATATAAATTAAGTTATGTTTCTATTTTTATATATATATTATTAATTATTTAATATATATAAATTAATATTAAAATAGCGGCTATCCCACTCCGCGTTATCCCGCTATCCCTTTTTTAGGGTTGACCGCTCCGCTCCGCTATCCGGGATTAACTACTATGGTATTTTGATTGGGACCACAAAAAAGTCAAAGCCACCTACAACTAATAACAAAGGTCCCATTGTATGTCTTCCTCGTTGGTAGTCTCACTCTGCTTCTAGTTGGTTGTCTTGCTCCACACCTGGATCTGCCTTGCCACCACTGGTTACTTTTTCCCCTTACTCATGCAGTAGGCTATGCAATCCAATTGGTGATGAACCCACCCTAGTTATCACACTCAAACCAGAATGTGGATGATAAGCAAAATTGGGCCCTTGGGTATGGATCCATGGTGACCTCCTGAAGGTCGCAACTTCTCATCTTGGGCCAATAATATTGCTTTCGTCTTATCTTTCAGGTCATGGGTTCTGACCCGAGATTTAGTTTCTTGCCTCCAAGCCCCAAGAAGAAACCCAACAATTGCTCTTCCATCACTGACATTGGCCATGCCACCCAAAGTTTGACTTTTTCCACGTGCTCATTTGCCTCAGTCTGGCCAACTGTTAATACACGTTCCCTTAACTTCTCTCACCAAACATCGTATCATAGTGCCACAACAAATTCTTCCCAAGGTAACTCCAATGTCGTTTTCTTTAAAAAACGAAACTAGTGGATTGTGATCCCGTCCAAGCTAATAAAAGCAACCATTCTGTAAAGGTTTGATTCCCTGAGCCTTGAAGGATTTCTCTGCCTTGGCAATCCAGCATAAGGGTCCTTTCCATCAAAGGTGGGCAACTTGATGTTTTTCCTTTCCAAGAATGTGTCAGGTGCCCCCTGCATTGTGACCCTTTGCCTTCCTTCAGAGCAAAAATAATGTGACATATTTGTAATTATTTGTGAAACAAGAAAATAAAAGCAAAAATTATTTCCTCAAACCAAACACACCCTTGGGGGCTGTTTGGTTTGAGAAAATGTTCAGTTTTAGTTACAAAAAGGCCACCTTATTATAACTTTGCTTATTGCTTTCGAAAAAGTTTTTTATAGGAAACAGTGAAAACAAATGAAAACAAAAAACATTTTCTCAAATCAAATGGCCCCTTGGCTTTTCTTGGTTTTCTTCATCTCTTCTCCTTTCTGAACCGTTTTCAACTTTCACTGCCAATTTCTATGAATTCTAATACAGTTCCCCATTTTTTATTCATTCTAGCCACTAAGAGTAAAGCATACGAGGGTTGGGGCTGCTGGGACATCAAATAAACGTAGTCTGTACATTAAATTGTTAACTTTTACAAGCTTTTAATTTGCATTTTGTATGATTCTATATCTAAGAAACTAATTAAGAACTCCATTCAAAATGGTTTTTGTTACTTTCAATTCAACTGTTTGAGGGCTAAACGATTCAGGTTCCACAAATCTTTTGTCATTTGTTTCAGTAGTTCATTTCATTTGTATATAATTTCCCTGTAATTTGCTCATGATGTGATGTATGTGCATTTGAATAAATTCTTATGAGCTTGTTCAACTGATTTGCAATCTTTTTTGCTTGAAGTCTGAGTCATTGAATCAATGTTTATAATATTTTTATCTGGCTAAATGCAGTGGATACAGAGCATTATACATTCTCAACTGGATCTATCGCTACTTTACTGAGCCCCACTTTGTCCATTGGATAAGTATGATTCTCGCTTAGTCTGTTTTATGGTTACTATTATTTTTTGCTTCTACACTTATTATAATTACTAGGAAGAGAGAGACACTCCATATCTCTATATATTTATTTAAAATAAAAAATAAAAATAATAGAAGTTACAAAATAGTGGGTAGTTTGTAATAGGAGAGCGGGTGAACTGATTTGAGAGTAGCTATGAGGAGAAAATTGTCTGAATAAAATGTGTATACAAAATACTATATCGTCTTTATTAATTGTTATAGATTAAGTTACCACACTCTCTGCATTATTCAATACTATGGCATGGATTGTGGTAACTTTTTCATTGCATATTCTCATTTTCATAGTATTTGAAATTATTTGAGATGCATTTATAGTGTTCTAAGATGTTACTTTCCTCGTTCAAACAACCATAGAATAAACCTGGTTGTGCAAGCCTTTTAAAATATTCACCAAATCCATCTTCTATTTACTGCATGGAATTCATTACTGAAGCAGTTTTACTTTGTTCATTTCCATCTAAAAATCATATTTCCTTTATGTGCATGCATGTTTGGTATTATAAATTACAATTTTCATGAAGTGAGTTTCTGTTGCTCCACATCTTTGAAATATTGATTTGGTGCATCCCATTATTGCTTCTGATGTTAAAGTAGCAGCTTCAATGAGAAAGATAATGTTAAATATAGATATTTCTGTTTTCTGATTCATCAAATAGGTATCAATAATAACGTGTCTTGCTGTTCTAATGTGGAGTACTTCCTACTATTTAGCTGGTACTCGTAAGCTAAATTTAGCTGGTACTCGTAAGCTAATATACTCTGATAGAATATCAATCAGCACTGGTTTTGATATTACTATTTCTTTTCTTTTAAAAGAAAAGAAATTGGAAGCTTAGGTTATTGATCATTTACTTGTACCAACCATAAACAAGAAAGTGATAAAGTTAAGGTATTTTTGTTTACTTTTCCCTTGTTGGAAAATGGTAGTGGTTTCTCATTAGACAGCACAATTGTTCAATATTCATTACAAAGGACCTTGGGTCCATTTGTTTAAACTTTTTTTTTTGTTAAAAAAAATGTAATAAAATAAGCAGTTTTTCTTACTTTTTTGATACATTTGTCTAAGCTGCTTATTTTTCTAAAGAAAAACAGTTTTCTTCCTTTTTGTTTTTTTAAGAAACAACTCTTATCTATTTCTTAAAATACTTTTTAAAAAGCATGTTTTTATAATTTGTTATTTAAATTTTAAACAAACTGGTCCCTTTTCACTTGAAATTAAACATGTAAAAGTATTAGTCGCCATAGGCCTAGGTCTAAGCCTAATTGCTTGGCATGACTTGTTGCCACCCAAGACATGAGGAAAACGTTGTCTTTATAACACGTGATTGTTGTTCAGGCAAAGCAATAAACAGCCTCTTCTTTCCCCCACAATAAAAGCACAATAGGTTACTAAAAAATTACACTATATTCTGAAAATGTCTTCCTAAATCCTTTTATTATGTTTTCTTGCAGCATGGATTTCTGGCCTTGTTCAAACACTGCTCTATGCTGATTTCTTCTATTACTATTTCCAAAGGTAAATTGACCCACTTTTTAGTTCCATTTATTTATTATGTTAGCAATCTTTGTTCATCTAAATTTTGAGCATTAAAAAATTGTGCCATGCAGCTGGAAGAACAACCAAAAGCTTCATTTGCCAGCATGATGTAATCCTGCTGTTCCTGAAAAGCAGGACCTATGTGAACATTTAACAGTGAGAGCAGAGAGGATCCACAAAGTTGTCTGGACACAGTGGTTTCTGATTTACAATTGCATATTTGTTCGTTTTGCCACCCCAAATGCTACTGTACTAATTACTAGGAAGATTATAGACAAAAAAAAAAAAACATTGTCTGTGATTGTAATCTGCAATTTCAACTTGAAAAAGTATTGAGATCCAGATTGTGACACAATGCTTATTTCGATCTTTTCCTCTTCCCTCTCTTCATTCAACTTGGGTAGTGTTAATAAAGATTTCTTGCTTAGATCAAATCTTGTCACTCTGCTTTCTTGGTAAAGATAGTATTGGTAATTGTGGTGGAGGATTTTAAACAGGTGCAGCTTTATGTGTAAATAATTGTTTGAAATTATTCGAGAATTTGGCACTTGTTTGAAATTTAGAAACCATAATCATATCGAACAACATTTCCTAAGGACACATCGAACTTGATGGATCATACAGCTAGAAGCTAAAACTAGCACAAAGAGAGTAACATTAATACGACTTAGATATGTTTCTATTTCGTATAATATACCTCATTTATGATTCTAGTCTTTATAATTTTTTTTACGGGATTAATTTTAATAAAATTTTATTTTATGATTTTAGTCCTTAAAGATGCTTTTTTTTAATAAAGATTTTATAAAACATTTTAGCCTTCATCTAAAATTGTAAACTTAATGGCAAAATTTATAAGAAATTTATTTGTTATAATTTAAGAAACATTAAGTTTGTCCTCAAAATAAAAAAAATAAAAACATCAAGTTTGTTCACTGATGTATGGTTGTCACATACATCATTAATGAATAGTGATGGGGACTGAAATAAAATTTTATAGCAATTAAAAGGCCGAAATATATTGTCTTTTATTTTATAATACAAATTTATTTTGTTCTTTTAACTTTAAAATTTGAGTTAATATTAACTTTTGAAAATGGTGAATATTTTTTTTAAGACAATTTTAAAACTTATTCTATTAAATTTACCTACATGAAAATAATGAAACACAGTTAATGTAAGGGAAAAAAAAGTCATAAATATGATGAAACTGAATAACACAAGCAATTGGAAAAAAAATCTTATGTTTAGCTTAATTAAAAGAAAAAAGTTTGTCTTAAATTAGTCAAAAGAGTATTTAAAATAATGTTATATTAAACACAAATAACTATTTCACAAGAAAGTATTTTTGGAAGTTTATTTTTTTACAAGAACGAATTTAAGGATTCTTTTTAATGTCTATTTTAATTTATATTTATTATATTTATTTAAATTAAATTTTAATATTTTAAAATAAATTATAAATATTTAAAAATAATCTTACATCACAAGATAAATTATTTATTATAAATATACAATATGAATTATTTCTTTAAAAATATCTATTTATATAAATTTTAAATATAATATAATTTATATATTTAAATATAATACTTATTTGTATATATACTTCATTATAAATTATAATAATAACTAAATAACTATTAAATAAGTATATTATAGGACTATAAACATTTATTTATTTTTTATATAAAAACATATTTGATTTTGTAAATAACTAAAGAAGAGGGATCCTTTTACTCAAAAAGTAAGTCTACCTAGACTTACTTCGTTCAATAACTCATGTTCTATATCAAATTTCAACGATCCAATTGTTCAATTTAAAGTTTTTAATGCATAGATCAAATTTGAAAATTTTTAGAAAATTTGAAAATTATTTAATACTTCATTTTATTAATTCAAATTGACAGATAATCATAAAATTATTTTATACATTAATGTGAATTAATGAAACGAAGTATCAAATAATTTTCAAATTTTCAAAAAATTTGCAGATTTGATCTATGCATTAAGAACTTTAAATTGAACGGTTGTATTGTTAAAATTTGATGTAAGACATGAGTTATTGAACGAAATAAGTCTAATTAGACTTATTCCTAAAGTAAAATATCCCTCCTCATAACTAAATATTAACAATTTTTTTCCATTTTTCTTTTAAGGGAATGAATGTCTTGTAAAGCCTCACCGGGGTAATTGTGTTATATTTTCTGGAAAAATGAAATGCCCCTTATGATAGTTTCAAATTTCGACAACCAACAAACATATGAATCAACTGAAAAAAAAAATTATAATTTACGACAAAAATTCTGGAATGTATGATGTACTATACTGTTTGGAATACTTTTAGGAGCACAAAAAATTAAAGATCCGGTATTAAATCTTACGAATGTTGAGTTTTGAGTCCAGTATGTACGAATTTGACATGTAAATATAATAATAATAATAATAATAATAATAATAATAATAATAATAATAATAATAATAATAATAATAATAATAATAATGAAATGTAAGTAAAATAATTCATGATTACTTGACAATCACCGATGAGAAAAAAAAAAAAAAAAGAAGAGGCAGCTTCCATTTCGGCTACTTAAGGTTAAAAGTTATTTTAAAAAAATACTACGAAAAGGTCACCACATCTCATTAATATTTCAACAGTTTGCCAATCTTGGTATTCGAAAATTTAGCATTGATCAGTTCTTTTAATCATAGTGCAAATGAATATATTTTTATCTAAATTAGCCTTAATATAATCCTTTTATCGTAGTGCCAATGAATTTTGTGCAAGCCTTGAATCAGGATAAAAGTTAGAATAAAATACAATGAGTTGGGAAGGATGACTTTCAAGAATTTTTTACTTTTTGTGTGATCTCGATATATTCTGTTTTATAAATATTATAAGATGATTCACAACCCTTAATTATTTAATTAAGATTGATTCTAAAATTCATAATACAATTATTTAGAAAGAATAATAACCGTTGAGATTATTATTCTATATAACAGAGAAAAGAATAATGAAAGATTTCTTATTTAACATTTCCCCTCAAATTGATATAGCTTATCAAGAAGCATCAATTTGCTAAGTAAAAATTGATGACAAGATTGAGAATAAACTTTGATAAAAAAATCAGGAAATTGAAGTTATGAAGTAACATAAGGAAGAGTGATGATATCATTGTCGCAACTCGAAAATTTCCGATCTTGCGATCTATGGTTTAGACATCTTTTTGAAAATCTCGTCAATTTAAGAATGTTTAGAGACCAGACTAATCTTTAATTAATGACAACCCAAAAATTTTTGATCTTACGACTAATGGTTTGGACTACCTTTTGAAAATCTCATCAAGTAGGGAATGCCCGGAAACTAGACTAATCCCTAATTAATGGTTGTGAAAAATGGTTCATAGGATTCGCCACCAATATTTTACTCAAAACATTGCAAAAAGAAATTTGTTTAAAATCCAATAATAACCTTGATAACTAAAATTAGATTCGGGGGTCAGTTACATGTAGGGAAGGTATTAAGCACCCCTACAATGCCCTTAATCAGTACCCTTATGATGAAGTTAGCATAATAAGAATTAATAAGTTAAATATTTAATCCCTTTATTAATGGTTATTTACATGCTTGAAATTTAAATTACGATTGATCCTAAAATGTCTACATGGTTGTTTTTATTATAACGATATTTAAAATGAGGGAATAGAGAAAAGAGAAGAGAATTGACTGAAATACCTCTTAAACGAGCTTTACTGAATCTTCAAATATGGGGATCTATTAGGTGCTTTTTGGCTACCTTTCACACTACAATATGCCTCACAAAAATCTCAAGAAATACAAGAGGGAGGAGAGAAAGAGAATTTTCGAGCTATATGGAGTTCTCAATGAATTTTTCCCTAGCCTTGAGAACAATGCATGAGTCTGCTATTTATAGACATCAGAAGTGACCAGAATGGCCTGTTCCAGAACCGGAACGGCCCATTCTGGACCCCTTCGTTATGTGTTAATTTTATATCTAGAATGGTCCGTTCTCAAACCAGAACGGCCCGTTCCAAAGTTGAGTTTAACACATAACTGCATATGCTGAAATGACCATACTAAACTAGGGGTTTAGGCCTTTTTAATAACTTGGAACGGCCTGTTCCAGTTTAGGAACGACCCGTTTCGATTTTGGAACAGCGCGTTCTGGGCTACTAAAATCAGCTTATTTGGGCTTCAAGCTTCCTTGTTGTCATATGGTGTTGCCTCCATACTTTGGGAGCTTCTCCTCTTTATAGTAGACGTCCATTTCATTGCTTTTGTTGGTTCGGATGAAATTGGGTGTCTACAACTGCCCCTCTTTACTTGTCCTTTACAATAGCTATGTGTTGCTTTTCCAAAGGCAAGTAAAGACGTAGACATTTCGTCCGGGTCTTCTCTTTGTCACTTTGGTGCTAGCACTTCTGCGTTGTTTCCCTTGGATAGGTGTATTTGCTCGTATCCTCGCCCTTTAGAGCAGTTGAGTGTTGGTTGTATACTCTATTAGGTAACATGGCTGAAAAATTGAATACCTGATCTTCAGTCTTCGAGTAGATGCTCCATTGTTTCTCTTGTGATAGTGCGTTCTTTTATTTGTAGCTTGTTAAAGAGGGAGTATTTTCGTAACTCAACCTCTCCAAGCTAGACTAACATTTAGGGCTTCAATCGGCCCAATGCTAGTTTTGGGGTTTAACAACCCTTATCGATCTTGTACTAATTTTGGGGATTTAGCAACCCTTTCTGATCTTGATGTTGAGTATTGTTATGCTTGGCCTCTCTAGGCCACTTGCTGATGTTTTGAGTATTGTTTTGTCGGCCTCTCTAGGCTGGTTGCTGATGTTTTGAGTATTGTTGTGTCGGCCTCTCCAGGTCGGTTGCTGATGTTTTGAGTATTGTTGTGCTGGCCTCTCCAGGCTGGTTGTTGATGTTTTGAGTATTTTTGTGTCGACCTCTCCAGGTTAGTTGCTGATGTTTTGAGTACTGTTGTGTCGGCCTCTCCAGGCCGGTTGTTGATGTTTTGAATACTATTGTGCCGACCTCTCCAGGCCGGTTGCTGATGTTTTGAGTGTTATTGTGCCAGTCTTTCTAGGCCGGTTGCTGATGTTTTGAGTATTGTTGTGTCGGCCTCTCCAGGTTGGTTGTTGATTTTTGAGTATTGTTGTGTCGACCTCTATAGGCTAGTTGCTGATTCTTATGATCTGATTGCCTCTTTTCTTTGGCGAGGATGTCTGATGAAGACAATGATTGCTAGTAGGGGGTGCCCTTTTGATGGTGGTCAAAGGAGTAGATGGGTGACAAGGATTTTGGTGTTGCCCTTGCCAGGTGAGTATTGTGATGCCTCTCCAGGCGTGATGCAGAGTTCTTTCGGTTTGTTGATGACTGATTGTTTGATTGTTTGATTGTTGATGC